GCATAGATTTTTATTGAGAACAAAAATTGTTTCATTCTTTTATTTAAGGACTTTTTACGTCCCCTTGATCCTTTCCAATTATCTTTTCGAACATGTTAAGGCGCTGCCCTAATCGACAAGATTACTTTCTTTTCGATCGCTGATCCGGTCTTTAAAAATATTTTTTTAATTATTGTCTACAATTTTCAAAATATGATATTTTCATACGAATTTTAAAATATTTATTAAGAACAAAAATTAATTGGTTTTATGACTCTTGATCTGCTTCTCAAGTAAAATTCTGCCTATATTAAGCAAAAATCCAACATACTTTAAAAGTGAAATTAATCTATCTTCTTCTCTTAATGGTTTAGTGGGCTTATAGTGGGCTATTTAAGTTCTCTCCTTATTACCCTTTTCAATTCTCTCTGGGGATCACAAATAAATTGTATATTTTATTGCACTTGTCAGCTATACATTTAATTTAATTAGCTTGATCCACTTGAAAAAACGTTTTAATAACATCCAGATCCGGTCGCTAAAAATAAATTTTAAATTATTGTCTACAATTTTCAGAATACCCTATTTTCATTCGAATTTAAAAATATTTATTGAGAACAAAAATTAATTAGTTTTATGACTCTTGATCTGGCTCTCAAGTAAAATTCTGCCTTAACAAAGCAAAAATCCAACTGTGAAATGGTTTTATCTTCTCCTCTTAAGTGTTTTCTTAGCTATTGCAATGCCTGTCCCACTGCTTATTTTTATGCTTTTATAATGCGGTCACCCAAAATTAAAGATTCCCAAAAAATCTCCAACTAGTGGGTTTTAATTTCTCTCCACATTAACCCTTTTTGAAATTCTCTCTGGGGATCAAAAATAAATTGCATATTTTATTGCACTTGTCAGCTAAAAAATTTATTTTAATTAGCTTGATCCACTTGCCTGCCACCACGTCGAGAAAACAAAAATTACCGCCAAAAACTCACAAAATTGTTACACTTTTGCCCAAACAGAGGCAAGCGAGCAAGCATTTCGTCCCGGCCACTAAATATCCGCTCAAGTGTTGTACCCGAATCGATGTGAAATGTGACAACATAGCATTTTTGTTTGCCGCCTGGGCATTCTTCATTGATGATTGCTGGCTGCTGGTCGCCATGGCGCAGAAGGTACTGAACACGAACAATAATGTCAGGCACAACGAGCCCGACCGAATCAACCCCGACTGAATGGTTGTGTCTGTCGCCTTTGATTGTTGCGAGAGTTGTGAAGAGTTAGTTTGCCACTTAAAGAGCTCAATAAATGGAGCACATGTTGTTATTGTTCCTGTTGTCTTGTGTACCACACACGTTTAACATTCTGCACATCACACCATGCACTCCAGGCACACACACACACTCTGAGAGAGAAAGAGGGAGAGAGAGGGAGAAAAAGCATGCAAGGCACAATTCCCTTTGGGGACAACATTTGTACGCAAAGCGACGAAACAAGAAATCAGAAACAGCAGCAGCCTGAAGAACATGACAAAAAGTACAATAACAACAACAATGACAATAAAAGCAGCAACAACTTGTCAAAAATGTATTACGGCACTCACTCTCGGCAAACTTAGCAGCAACAGAAAAACACATTGCTTTGCATGCCCTTTCCGTTCATCAGATGCCAGTCCGTGACAGTCAATCAGAGTCTAAACCCCTTTAGTTCGGCTTAGATCACTCCTTGGCGGTTTAATGGAAGACAAGAAAAGATACCGGTTGGTAGACAGAAAAATCAGGAGAGAAATCAAGCTAAATGTTTTTTTCAGTTATCGTTGCGAGTGTTCCGTTGCGACAAAAAAAATAAAATAAATTGTGTAAGAATTTTTTGTTGTTTGTCTTGCCATTTACCTTAATTTAGTTTTTTTTCGCATACACAATCCCTTGTAGGTAGCAAAAGAAAATGAAAACAAGTACAAAAATTCCCTAAACACTTTTAAAAGGGTTTCTGTAGGATGGAGACCCAGAGAGAGCGGGGGAAAAATCTGAAACCACCTTGGCATAAAAAAGGTGCGACAAAATGAAAAGTGAAAAAACTGCACTTCAACAATTTTCAAGTGTTAAAAAGGAAAATGAAATATTTAAGGCTCAAAATGGCACGATTCATAGTCATGCGAAAAGCAGGAGGAACATGATTATTTAAACAAGTTTTATCCTCTGTCTGGAAGTACTTACATGTTTTGAAGAGTCATTTTTTTGGAAGCTGTCATCCGTAGATTAATGTGTGAAAAAAATAATTTAACATATTTTCATTTAAAGTTAATTTTTGGCATAGTTCCAAAGACATCGGCATTGCATGGTCTGCATATTGGGCGAATACAGCCGTTAATGCACGAGAGGTTATATTTCACATCCTGGCAATGTTTTAATTATGATCTTGACCTTGAATTGCCCTCGGAGTTTAATTTAAAGTCTATAATCAATTAATTTTTGTTCTCAATAAAATTTTATAAATGCTGATTGTTTTAACTCAACTACTTTAGGTATATTTTTCGGTCAACTACATATACTCACAAAGAATTGTTTTAAAGGCAATCTCTCCAAACGTTGTGAGAAAATTAGAATCTTCCAATTCGGGTCTATTGTTTTCTTAAACTGTAATGGCTGCAAGCTTGTATGTCTTCCAGGAAGGTTCATTCATCGTCTAAAAGCAGTACATTTTTGTTCTCAATCAAATTTTGGAAAACTCGAATCCCAGCATCCTTTAGAACACGCTTTCAGTGGCCTACGGAAACTCCCGAGAAAGTTGTTGCTCAGCAAGCTCTTCAGTCATTGTTTGAAATTCATTATCCATCCAAAATCAATTATCATTAATTCCTAATTTGTCCCCTGAATTCCTGATTTAATTCGAGACTATATTTCTATGAATTTGTCCTAGGAGATTCTAAAATCAATTAATGTATGTTCCCAATTTATTTATTTATTTTTCTTTTTTGTTTTGGAGAATTATTATTTTCGGTAGATTTATAGACTCCAAATTAAATGTTTCTAATGCAAACTTTTTAGTCCTTATGAGAAATTCCTTATCCGCCCAAAAACCAATTAATTTTTGTTCTCAATAAAATTTTAAAATCTTTATGGAAGTTCTAAATCCAAACATGCTTTGGGAATATTTTTCTGTTGTCTATTTAGATTCCCGATGTATTGTTTGTCGGACAAGATCTTCAGATGCCGTAACAGATTCATTATAGGTCCCAGAAAAGTGAATTTTTGTTCGCAACAAATTTTTTAAAACCCATAATTTGTTTGCTGATTTCCTGATCTAATTCGAGGCCATAGTTACTTCACACTCTAATAGCTGAAAATTTGGAAGTCGTCCTGAGAGACTCATTATCCGTCTAAAACAAATTAAATTTATTCTCAACGAAATGCTTTCCTGCTCCAATTTAAGACCATAGTACATTAATTTTTGTTCTCAATAAAATTTTGAAAAACTTAATTATGGAAAACCAAAGATAGCTTATATCCACTGCCATTTTTGGCTACTGATTTTTTATGGCTGGTCATCGGTTTCCCTTCGGCCAGAAATCACCAAAGTCATAGAAAATGTTCCGAAGTTACTGGAATCTCCTCTTCTTTTTAGTCAAAAACAATAACGCATTTCCAATGTCCTTAAGGGCATTATCCGTTCGTAGGCAATTCAATTTTGTTCTAAATACAATGGTTTCCTGCTCCAATCTAAATCTTATTCTAATAGCTGCAAGTTTTTAAATCTTTCCTGGAATTGCCATTCCTCGCCTCAAGCCAATTAATTTTTGTTCTCAATAAAATTTTAGAAAATCTTGATAACCCAGATCCAAAACTATTGTTACCTCCTAACTTTTTAATGGCTGGCCATCGTTTCACATTCGCCATGGGTCATCAAAGTCACGGATAACTACCAATTTTTCTAATAGGTTTTTATTATCTCTACCCCCAGCATCTTCCTCCCCCTTTCCGTTGCCTCCCAGCCTTCCATCTTGATAATCTTTTATTTATGGATATTAAAAATCATATCCAATCTTAACTTTTATCTCTCTCCTCTTTCTTTTAATACCTGTGTTTATGTTTCGTACCTTCCGTAAAGACTGAAAAAATTACTTACACTTTATCAAAAGTAAATACCAGGACAAAGGAAGAACAGAATTTTCTAAATTGCTTTTTATTGTCTCCGCACCCCCAGCCACACATTGACGCCCTTGGAAGGCTTAATGGACCAGTATTATAAGACTTAATGTGCGTCTGTTTGATTGTCTGGCAAACAGATTCAGATTCCTTTATTTTTTTCGTTATTTTACATTTCTGAAAAGACACTCTTTTTAATGGGGAGGGGGTGACTTTAGTTTTTATGGCATTCCATGTTGACTTGCCTTTATGAATACGACGTAAAATGAATATTAGATACCAGCTTTCAAAGAAGAAGAAAATCTCTTTTACATTACACATCGTTTTTTTTTTGCTGATATGAATTCTTGTTTCTCTTTACTTTCCATTTCTTTCAACTCCTAGTCTTTAGATTTTCACTTGCTATTTTTTACTCTTGTTCTTTGATTTCTGTTTTTGCAAAAGGAAAATTTGAAATTTTAATGAGCTCTCTTCTCATGTCCTTCACATAGGACGAAGAACATTTGCAACTCGTGCTTACGAGGAAATCTCAGATCTTCCCCCCTTTCCCTGGCAAATCTACTCCAAAATGAATGAAATGGAATTTCAAAATTGTTAACGAATTCCCTTGCCAGGCAAAAAGAAAAGCTAGCGGGAAAGGGGCCAGGATACAGCACATAAAAATACATCAAGGACGACACATTATTTATTAACCTCCAAGTTAGGAAATAACATGAGCTTGTTCCCCATGGCAATACTGCTCTGGTTTTATCAAAAAATACTGCGTAGCACAACAACTTCTCTTTTAAGTCTTTGAATTTGAATTTTAAATTTTGCCAACTTCACATGGATGTGTACCGTTTCTAATTGATTTTTCATTTTTCCCTTCTTCTCCTCTTACAGGAAAAACTCCACTGTGGTGCTCCCTGTCATGCCATGTTCTTCCCCGAAAAAGAACGCACTGTTCTCAGGTATTGGGTTGGTTCATGGGCTGCGGTTTGCGTTGCCAGCTGTTTATTTACGGTAAGTGAAAAGTTTCAATATTTGTTTTGCGTTTTTAATTTTCAGTGGGAATTTTGGGGAGAGGGAAAAGTCATTTGAACGTATTGTCAAATGGTAAACAAAAAAGCTGAGGAAAGAGAGAATATTCGAATACGAAGTTGGAACAGGTTACATTACATTTGTCATTCTGACGTGGAGTAAATATTTTAACACACTTGGGTTTTAAGTTAAATGATTTCGGTTTCTGGCCAAAACCAGAAGTTAATAGATACCTTCTTTCGGATATTTCAAAAATACTGCTTCTCTGTCGCCTAAGAAGGCTTCCAATCAATTGATTGGGAGACGATAATTTAGCCAAAAAAAAGGAAAAGAAATTCCCGTCCGTAAAAGACTTGATTTCTGTCTTCAAAAATAGACTGAAGTTTGGTTTCCAAAAAAGGCTTCCATTCAGCAGCACTTTCCTAATCAAAAAATTTCTTCCTTTTTTCTATCCCTTTTGCAAAAAGAACGTCATTCGGTTGTCTATGCAGCCTCTTTTCCAGCTGCAAATAAGTCTCCCTTTCAGTCGTGCGTAGGCATCCAAAAACTCTTCTAAAAGAACTCCTTTCAAATCCTCCAAAAGGCTTCGATAAGGCAGAGCTTTCTTTCTTTCAGAAATGCCTTAACGCACCTTGAGTCCTAATTTATGACATCGAATCAGATCCATTTTAAAAGTTAAGAGAAACTCTTTGAGGCTGCTTAAAAATGCTCTGTATCCTGTCCTCTTTTTGATTTATCGAAAAGTCTCACTGGGACCCTTTTCTCACTGTCCTCTCTTCTAGTTGGAACCATTTTTAAATCTTCATAGAGTTATTAGTTTAGAGTTTTTGAAAGGGATCAATTAAGTTAATTGTCGAAGAGCCTGCTTTTCAACCCTTTAAAGAGAACCATTTCCGTCCTTTCGATTAATTCTCGCCACATAGAGAGTTAATCTCAACGGCAGAAGATTGGTCTGGAAAATAGGGCTCTAAGATTAACTGATGCCAGAAATAAGCTGAGCTCTGCAAATATTTCTTTCCTGAGATCTAAAAAAACCGTTTCAAGTAGGGGAGAGTAAAGGCTATTCTCTTCTGCCGTTGAGATTAACCCTCTCACCACTTATAAATTCTCCCATTTCTCTCCTTTAGTTGGTTTGTGGAGGTCCTTTTCAGGGGTCCATTGCAAAGATCTCTTATATTTATTGCGGGCTTGAGAAGCAAACCCATTGAATGATTTCTTTGCTTTATTGGGCTCGAAGGACCACGAGAACCACTATCTCATCGAGTTTTTGATTTACAAACAATTTTCATTCAAACATCTGCTCAATTTCCTCAAAGCAGATTCCTCTTGATTCGATCAGAGACAATCTTTATGTTTGGGTATATTGCTTCTTTGTTGTGCTGGGAGGACCATAGTTTTCTGCTGCATCATGATCAGAATGCTACTCAACTTTCGAATAGATTTCTCAAAACTAAACTTGGCATTTAATATTTTTTTCAAGGTATATAAACTCTAAGTCATATGTCCAAGGAAGCGTCGTTAGATCCTCGACTTCCCGCGTAGCATATCTACCTCCCTGAGAATGGAGTTGATTCCAAACATTTTAGACTTCATTAGCATCACTGCGGCCACATTTTCCCCCGCGTATTGAGGGATGTTTTAAAATTGTCTTCAAGGTATATAAACTCTTTATCATCTCCCAAGGAAGCGTCGTTAGATCCTCGACTTCCCGCGTGGCATGTCTGGCTTCCTAAAAATGTTGTTGATCCCAAACTTGGTACACTTCATCAGCATCACCGCGGCAACCCTTTTCCACATCTATTGAATGAAGTTTTCGATTCCTTCGATTCTTCCATGGCGATTTTCTTTCATATGTCTAAGGACACTCTGTTTTTGGTTATATAACCTTCTTACTTTGCTTGAAGGATCATTACTTTATGCTGGTCTAAATGTTACTTAAGTTCCGAGTGAATTTTTCCCAAAATAAAATGGGATTTAATTTGTTTTAAAATATACAAACTTCTTGTTATCTATTCAAATGGACCTCATGGAGTCCTTTACCACACGCCTGACATATCTACCTCCCTGAGGATGCTGTTGATTCCAAACTTTGTGCACTTCATCAGTACCATAGCGACCATATTTTTCCACATCCATTGAGGGCAGTTTTCAATTGCCATAAAAATCAATTTGAAAAGTCTGCTAAATTTCCTTCGTGGTGATTTCCTTTCACTCTGTTGGTTATATCACATTCTTCCGTTGCTCGAAGGACCATTTTTTATGCTGAAGCATAATCTAAATGTTATTTATGCTCTGAATGATTTTTCCCAAAATATAAATTTGAATTAAGATCCGTTTTAAAATATACAATCGTAATCGTAATTTCTACAAGCTTACCTCATGGAATCCTCGACCTCCCGCGTGGCATATCTAGCTCCCTGAAAGTGTTGTTTATCCCAAACTTGGCACACTTTATCAGCACTAACGCGGCCACCATTTTTCACATCTATTGTGGGATGGTTTCGATTTCCATAAAAATAAATTTGAAAAGCCCTCTTAATATCCTTCATGGTGACTGACTTGCTTTCATCATCGAAAGACACTCTGTTTTCGATTATATCACTTTCTTGCTTTGCTCGAAGGACCATTGCTTTATTTTGCAACATGATCTGTATGTTCTTAAAGCTTGTAATGCATTTTGGCAAAAATATTCTTGAATTAAATTTGATTTAAGATAAAAAATCTCATCGTCATCTATATAAACTTACCTCATGGAATCCTCGACATCCCGTGTAGCATATCTGGCTTCCGAAAAAATGATGTTGATTCCAAACTTCGTAAACTTCTTCAGCACCACCGCGGCCACTTTTCCGACATATATTGCGAGATGGTTTCGTTTTGCATAAAACTTCACTAGAAAAACGGCTTATTTTCTCCGTAGTGATTTAATTTTATCCGTCCTCAGACACTCTATTTTTGGTTATATCACTTTCTTGCTTTCCAAGAAGAGCCATTATTTTTTGCTGAATCAGGATCTGAATGTTCTTGAAGCTTGGAATGCATTTTCCGTAAAATAATCTGCAATTAAATTTGATTTTAGATATAAAAACTTGTTGTCATATATTCAAGTGTACCTCATGGAATCCTCGATCTCCCGCGTGTCTTATCTAGTTTACTCAATATGTTATTGATCTCAAACTTTGTACACTTCATCAGCACCACCGCGACCACCCTTTTCTATACCTATTGAGGGGAGTTTTCGATTTACACAAAAATCAATTTGAAAAGACTGCTTCACTTTCTCCGTAGTGATTTCCTTTAATCCCTCCATAAAGACTTTATTTTTGGATATATATTGTTTCTTCGCATTTCTCGAAGGATCGTCATTTCAAGAGTTATCATGATTGAATTCTATTCAATTCTAGAATGTATTTTCTAAGAAACTTTTAATAAAATTTGATTTAGGATATACAAACTGATTGTTATCTATTCAAACTTACCCCATGGAATCCTCGACCTCTCGCGCATCATATCTTCCTCCCCGAAAATCGTGTTTATCCCAAACTTTGGCAATATCATCATCGCTACCGCCTCATTGAATGGTGCATTGCTTTCCCTCCAAACCCGAACTTAACCCCTCAACTCTGTAGCTTTTTGTGTGTGTGTCCCAGGCAAATATCCAAACTTTTGTCACTGAACTGTGGCAATGGATTTGTTTGACTTCTTTTTTGCGTGGAATGGTGATGCCATAACGGCTGATGACAAATGAAGTTTTAATGATGTGGTTTTAGCTTGCAAATGAAAATGTTTATCCAAAGCACTATGGCAGAGCCAAAGCTAGAAAACCTCTCTCCCAACCAGAGTAAACATTTTCGGGAAGTGCACGCGAAAAACTTTGTGGGTTCCACTGCCACAATGGCTCACAGATGGCTAGCGATGGTTGTGACTTTTCCTCTGCGCAGTCATGGTGATGCGTTTTGAGATTTTTTAATGAGAAAACTTTGATCCAAAACACCTCCCCGACCCACAACCCCTCCCGTTCTCACTCTCTCTTTAATTAATACCCACAAAAATTGTCACTTCGACTAATATTTCATTTAGTTTTTGCCCCAATGCCATACTGAAATGACTCCTGGAAAATTGGAAACATCTTTATTTTGTGGGGCCACTGAAATAATGCCAACATTTTCATTTATTTTTTTTGTTGTTGTATTTTTTCTTTTTGTTTTGTTTTTGTCTTGTGTTTTGCCCCATCTGTGTGGCTGGGTGTCTCTCCTGTCACATAATCCTCAGTTTGTTATACCCACCAAAAGTTATGGCACATAATTTGTCACTGAAATCCTAGCAAGTCAACAAAAACTCATTAGAAACGAAACGAAAAATAATCGAAAAGAAAATTCAAGGCACGTTCCGACTGGCCTCCTGAAATTTGACACATACACACCCCATCCCCACCCCTCCGACTTCGCTCATCCAGGACACACTTACCTAACAGACGTCTGGGGAACTAGTTGTGGAGGAGCAGGCGATGATATGAGGGTATTGTGAGCAGTTTGGGGAGCATTGGTCAGTAAATTAACACCTCTAAGGATGTTTTTGAGGATATTTGGGGGCCACCAAGGGATAGCTTTTTATAAAATTGTTGGGGAATGTTTGGAGATTGACAAACCTGAACCTTTTGGGATGTTTTGTGAAAAACTTGGAGACTATAAGGCCTGTTATTTTCAAAAAATTGGGGATATTCGGAGGCTACAGGATATGGAATTTTGAAGGTGTTTTTCAAATTTCGATTTTTGCGGGATTTTTAAGGGATATTTAAAGACTACCGGACTCGCAAAGAATTTTAAGGGATAATCGGAGACTACAGGAAGTGGAATTTTAAATAATGTTTTAAGGGATTTCTGAAGGGATGTTTGGAGACTACCATAATTTTGTTTTTATGGGATTTTTGGAGACTATGAGTCCTGGAATGTTTATGGAATTATTAAGGGATCTTTGTAGAC